TCCACGTCTCCAGAGGGGTCGGCGCTCTCCACGTCTCCAGAGGGGTCGGCGCTCTCCACGTCTCCAGAGGGGTCAGCGCTCTCCACGCCTCCAGAGGGGCCGGCGCTCTCCAAGCCTCCAGAGGGGCCGGCGCTCTCCAAGCCTCCAGAGGGGTCGCCTCTCTCCGCATCTCCAGAGGGGTCGCCTCCATGGTTGTCGCACGCTGTGGTTCTCCAGTGCCCCAAGTCCTCTACGCCGCCAGACGCGGCTTCCAAGGCCTCTACGCCGCCAGACGCGGCTTCCAAGGCCTCTACGCCGCCAGATGCGGCTTCCAAGGCCTCTTCGCCGCCAGACGCGGCTTCCAAGGCCTCTTCGCCGTCTTCGCCGCCTGCCGCGGCTTCTTCGCCGTCTTCGCCGCCTGCTGCGGCCTCTTTGCCGTCTTCGCCGCCTGCCGCGGCCTCTTCGTCGTCTTCGCCGCCTGCCGTGGCCTCTTCGTCGTCTTCGCCGCCTGCCGCGGCCTCTTCGTCATCATCGCCGCCGGACGCGGCCTCTTCGTCATCATCGCCGCCGGACGCGGCCTCCAAGTTGTCTACGCCGCGGCCTCCAAGGTCCTATGTGTTGGACGGCCTCCCGGCTGCCCCCCTGAATGTTGGTCCCGTGATGGACGGCCTCCCGGCCGCCCCCCGGAGCGTTGGTCCCGTGATGGACGGCCTCCCGGCCGCCCCCCTGAACAATGACTTTAGGGACGGTCTCTTGACCGTTCAGATCTCGTGTTTTTCTGCTCGTGTTTCACCTTAGTTCTTGTCAGTTCCTTGTGTTTCCTCTGGCCCTCCACCCTTGCAGTGCCACCCGCCCAAGTCCTTCGGGAGGGGGGTTTCTTGGGGACGCCTGGAGGCGTCCTTGAGGGGGGGTACTGTAAGGATGGTACCATTTGGTGGACTCGGTTTGTGTCTGTGTTTCCCTTGTGTGTTCTCTTCAGTTTAATTGGTGTCACCCTTGTCTTGTCACAGCTGTTTGTAATCACGTCTCGTTTTGTCCTTGTATAAAAGCTGTCTGTTCTGTCTTGTTCCTCGTCGCGTCGTATTCGTTTGGGTCTTCTGTGTTCTCCTGAGTTTTCCTGAGCTTCCTGAGTCCCGTTTGAGTATCCTTCCTGAGTCTACTAATTTATGTAAGTGATGCTGCCTCGTCAGCTTATTGTTTTGTTACTTTGTATTCACCATTAAAGTATTTAGTTTTTTAATCTGCCGAGTTGAGTCCTGTCTGCACTACTGGGTTTGTTCCTGTCCACCAAACCCTGACACTAAGACCTATCACTCTTCTGAATACAGACTATAAACTTCTTATCATGGCACTGGCATCTAGGTTAAAAGCTGATCTTCCAAAAATCATAAGCAGCTCTCAGTCAGGATTCATGAACGGTAGATCAATTCATAATAATATCAGATTGGTTTTAGATCTTATAGATTATAGTGATTTGGTGGAAGATGATGCTTATATTTTATTTCTTGACTTTCAAAAAGCATTTGACTCAGATGAACATCCTTTCATTTATGAAACATTAAAACACTTTGGACTTGGTGAATATTTTTTTAACATAATTAAGATGTTACACACAGATATTAATAGTTGTGTTTCCCTTCCTGAAGGTACAGCCACTAGATTCAATATAGGAAGAGGCAGAAGACAAGGGTGTAGTTTATCTCCATTGTTGTTTATTACAGTCGCTGAGTTATTGCCCATCCGGTTAAAAAATTCTGAAATTGAGGGAGTTACTATAGATCGGGAAAAACTATTGATTAGTCAATTAGCAGATGACACTACACTGTTTTTGACAGATAAGTCGCTGTCGCTCTTGAAGTGATTAAATCATTCTCCAAAGCTTCAGGTCTAATTCTCAATCTTAATAAATGTGAACTTTTAAGTATTCATGGCATTTCGGAAAAGTTGCTGTACAATATCCCAGTGAAAAAAGAGGTCCGTTACTTGGGTATCTGGATATCCAAAGAATAAATAGTGTCAGCAAGAACATCCAGAAGCCAATTGAAAAATCCAGAAAAATCCTAAATAATTGGTTGCAGAGAGACTTAACATTATTTGGAAGATTATTATTGACAAAAACTGAATTTATTTCCAGACTAATATATCCCATTTACTCTTTACCACTTTCCACAAAAACCATAAAAGAAATAAACAACTTAATTTTTAATTTTATTTGGAAGAATAAACATCAATATATCAGAAAAGCAGATATAATTAAAAGTTATGAGGAGGGAGGAATAAAAGCCATTGATTTTGAAACCATGAATGGTCCTAAAGCTAAGATGGCTCCAGTCTTTCCTGAGATGTAGTGAAGATATTTGGTTTTCTTTACCTAACTTTGTCTTTAAGAAATAAGGTGGCATTGATTTCCTGTTGAAATGTGACTTTGAGGTTTCAAAGTTACACGTGAAACTCTCTGCTTTTCATCAGCAGGTCTCGTTTTACTGGAAAATGATTTTCAGGCATAACTTTAGTTCAAATAATGTCCCATTGTGGAACAACAGGGTGATTCTAAAGAGAAGAAAATCAATGTTTATGAAAGGAGGGATGGAAAAACAAATTTGGTCTATTGTTCATTTGATAAATGATAAAAAAGATTGGTCAAAATACGAAGAATTTTGTAATAAATATAAAATAATTTGTACCCCTGAGGATTACAAAAAGGTAATTGATAACATTCCAAATGTTATGATTAACCTAATCAAGAATAATTTAGATCAGATCCCAACCCCCAGATTGCATAAAATAATAATTAATTATATAAATTTTGTAGATAAAAAAATGCAATAATATAGTTTTGAGAAATCTTTTAATCAACGAGATCTATCCTGGGTCCTCCAAAAGAACATATCAATTAAAAAAATACTTTAACAAACAAGAAATTAGATCAATCAGAACTAAATTTTTTGAAATTTCCAATCCCTCCTAAAGTGAAAAAAAATCCACTTTAAATTTGTAAATTAAATTTACCCTTCACAGGAGTTCTTTAAAAGAATATTCAATTTTGAAATGGAGAATTGTTATTTTTGTAAATCAATGTTGGAATCAACAGAACATGTGTTTGACGAATGTGAGATTGTCGGTGGTTTTTGGAAGGAGTTACATAACTGGTTGATATCTAAGTCTCTTAAAATTGTTTTTTTTTTTCTTAGAAAGTAATAAAATTTGGAATTGTATTAAAGAATAAAAAAATTGAATATTTGATCAATAATATTATAATGTTTGCCAAATTCTACATCCATAAATGTCGTTTTACAAAAGCTCTTCCTATTGTAAAAGCGTTTAAGAATGAGTTTGTATTATTTGGTAATTCTTTAAAAAAGATTGACAGCCCCTGCTATCAAACTTTTCTCTATTTTTCAGAGTTTAAGTTGTTATAAACCCCAAGATTTACTTTAATTATTATTATTTTTTACCTGTTAAATTTCAGAAATTGTGACTTCCTTAAGTTTTCTTTTTTTCTATATATTTTGCTGGGTATAATATTGAAGTTTTAATTTTTGTATAAACATTTTGTTATTGATAGCGAGGTTTGGCCATGCTAGCCGTTATAGATTTGTGAAATGTGAAATTGTCATTGTCTTATTTATTTATTTATTTATTTATTTTTTATTTTTTGGTTACTATTCTAATAAAAAGAAGAAGAAAAAAAAGAAGATACAGAATGAATTATTTCCAGGGTGAAACAGCGCCGCTCAGTGGTGAAGCTGCACATCATTTAAACCATGACGTAGATGTGTCAATGATTTTAACAGAAGGCGGCGCTGAGGAGCAGATAATACCGCTGCACAGTTGAAACACCAGAAGAAGAGTGACCGGAAGTACGTCTTTTACACTAACAACGATAAGAAATGAGAAGTATTGTGTTGTATTTTTAGACTACGAGTTATTTTTCTGTAACATTTGCAGTAATCTCATCTTCTTGAGTTCGGTTCATCTGTACCAGTTCCGTATCTATTATTTTAAGGAAACTTTAGCTAACAGAGATGAGGAGATCAGGCTGAACAACGACGAGAGGAACTGGATACTGAAGAAATGTTGGAGTTTCTGGAAACAACAGTCGCAAATTATAAAGAGGAACGATGAGTTTAAAGGACAAACTGCAACACAACAAAACCCAAGATGCTGTTTTCAACCCAGAAGTTCTGCTTCACAGATCAGGTTTGTATCTAAACATTCCTGCTTTTCACTGATGATTTTGTTGCAGTTTCACAGATTACAATGAGTCCTCGAGGCTCAGTGAGACTAACCTATAAATAAAGATTGAATTTTATCAAGGTCATGTACACACTAACTTTTACTAAGGTCATTTGCACAGTATACAGTGATCCCTCATCTATCGCAGGTGTTACGTTCCAGAAACCCCCGCGATAGATGGAAATCTGCCAAGTAGCAACGTTATATTTATTTTATTACTTATATGTTTATATAAAGACTTTATAAACTCTTCCCACACACTTACAAATATTTCCCACTCTCTTACAAACACCATATTAAACCCAACATTTTTCAGTCAGGTCATCTGGACAGTTTTTTTTTTTTTTTTTTTTTGATGACCTGACTGAAACGTTGGATTGTATACCTGGATTATTGAGCATGGACTTTGTTGACTTCATATTAAAGCATGACCGATATGGAAATTTTGTCTGTCACGGATACTGGGAGGGGAAGGTTAGTGCTGATAACTGATGTAATGACTGTGTTTCTTCCATCCATTCATTCAACTGTTATTTATACAGGTTAGTCTCATGAGGACTCATTTACAAGAGAGACTTGTTTTAAACAAAGAACACAGATGAGGTACACAGAACAATATACAATCATTAAAAATGAAAAGTAAATAAAAGAAATTATTAAAAAAATGAAACAAAAACAGCTACATTATAAAGCATGAAGTTAAAGTGAATATATTACTCCTTAATGGCGTATTGCAAAAGATATTGCCAAAAAACTGAAAAGAGAAAACTGTTAAGACAAGCTATTGTTTTTGTTGTTGTTTGTATTAGAGCTGCAACAACGATTGGATAAAATCGATAAAAATCGATGATTAAAAGTGATGGCAACGAGTTTCATTATCGATTCGTTGTGTCGCACAATTAAGCGTCTTTCACGGCGCTGTGGAGCCGTTTTGTTCACCTGCAGCTCATTGTCAATGCTGACTGACTGAATCAGTGTTGCCAGGTGAGAAATGTAGGATTATCGTACTAGAGACATAAAATTATCATATTTTGAGGGAAATTATCGTACACCCGTCATAACCAAAATAACAAATCTATTGACACACTATAGTAGTGATGGGTCCGCTTCCAGACCGGCTCTGCTTCTTCTTCTTTTCCTCACTCATGGCGCGGGCGCAGCGGACTATTCATCCAATCATGGCCGTTGTTCTGAGACAAATGCAAACACGTCACTCGTAGGTCACATTTAGAAAAGCACGATTGGCTGGAATTTCCAGTCAATCGTGCATATGTTTGCGGACACAGATGCCTTCAGGGTTCACAAAAAAACTCCGACAGACAGTTGCGATAGGCTGATGAGAACCAATTACAACCACATATTCACAGAATGGTCAAATTATCGTATATTTGGCCTTTTTTGGGATTATTGATAGTACAGAGGACAAAATTGTTTTACAAATACAATAATTATCGTACACCTGGCAACACTGGACTGAATAAAGTTTTTTTTAAAACTCTGCAGCGCGAGTTGAACAGAGCCAGTGGGAGGCGGAAGCAGAGTAGAGTCTGTTTTCAAAGGAAATTAAATACATTTTACAAATGACCGATGCAGCGAAAACTGTTCGACCCGAGTCCTACAAAGTGTGGGAGCACTTCACAAAGATAAAAACTGAGCAACATGCAGCTTTGAAAAGTGATGACCCGGGAGAACCACGGAGATGAAACGTAAACATGTCGGAGTCACGAGGAGGAGGAAGGAGCTGCAGCTGATACAACTCGTCATGTGTTGCAGGTGAGTCTCTACAATTTAACACATTGTTCTGTTTCCAAATGAGAAAACAACGTCAGTCTGTCTGTAGCTGAAGCTGCTGCTTGTTTGTTTATCTGATTAATGATGGTGATAGAGAACGTGTGTTACTTTTTATTTTATTTAATTGGTACAAGCAGTGTTTAAATGTGATTTATAAATAAATCTAACACAAAGACAATAATTTAATGATTAAGTTTCAACTTTTAATTTGTTGGCAAAGTCTGAAGACACTGCAGGTATGGCAGGATGAATTGCATTTAAACAGGAATTAAAGTAATTTATTACATCTACTCAAATGTGTGTAATTATGTATTTTATATGTGTGTGTGTGTGTCTGTGTGTGTGTGTGTGTGTTTAATTGCTCTTTGGGCTACTTATTTGCCTGAACCTAACGCTGTAAGTGAAACAAGGCATTTCTTGAGTTGCTGTAAATTATGCTATAATACATATTTACTCTCTCATTCCAGAAAACAACAACAAACAACAACATCCTTCATGATGGACAGACATCATGGACACCACAGCAGCAGCTGTCTTCACTGAAACATCCTGAACACGATCGTCACTGACATGAGGCCTCTGTTGATGGTTGAAGACGAAGGATTCACTACAATGATCCACACTTTTAATCCAGGTTACAATAATCCACACTTTTAATCCAGGTTACACTCTTCCCTCAAGGACACATTTTACAAAGTAGCTACATATTGTTCATTCAACCTTTATTTAGACAGGTAAATCCCATTGAGCCTCGAAGACTCATTTACAAGAGAGACCTGATTTCAACAAAGGATGACAACAGCGACAACAATAAACAGTTTATAAAAAGGCATACTGTACTTTTTTTTTTTTAAATTTTTTTAAAATTTTTTTTTTAACAAATAAGATGGAATAAAAAAGAAAACTAACAAAAAACTGCTAGATTCTAAGGCAAATGTAGAAAACTAAAACATTGTGAAAAATTGTGCAGGTATAAAGACACATTTGTTTATATTTTTGTGTACATTTTTTTAAGCTATTTGACTAATTTTTATTTTTTATTCAATATTTTACTAACAGAATAGTCAAATAGCAACTTGTTTTTTGTGTGAATTGCTATGTCAGTCAAATGTTCAATTTTGGAATAAAGGAGTGGAAATTAAAACTTTTTCCCCCCAGTTCATCGATTAATCGAGGAAATAATCGGCTGATGGATCGATTATTGAAATAATCGTTAGTTGCAGCCCTAGTTTGTATAACAAACAATAAAATTCAGTTTTGTGTTAGTTTTGGTCAAAGCTTGAAAGAGCCACTGCAGAAGGACCAAAGAGCCGCATGTGATTGTGGCCCCCGAACCATCACCAAGCGATGACTGTCAATAATGGTGATGTAGGTGCAGAGCGTGTGAGAGTATGGTTAAACAAATGTCTCTTCCAAAACTGAATGAAGGCATGAGGGGATCAACAGCGCGGTGTAGAGATTCAGTATCTTCGGCATCAGAGGGCATTCTATTTCTGGCACAATAGCACCTGGTCTGGCATGATGGGAGGGTCCTGATCTCTCCCAATCAATATCCTCTATTTGGATTCCTGACACATTTTCCTCAGACGTCTCTGGCTCTCTGATGAGGTGTTGCAGCATCCCAGGTCCCCACAGCTGGTTTGGAGAAAGGCTACACTCTGTCCTGATGGGATGGTCATTCCAGCCAGCAGAAAACTTTGCTAAATCAGCCTTGAGCCTTGGGAGGAAGGTGTACTGGGCACAGAACAGATGAAGATGATCTGAGATGTTCAGAAGTCCATCTTCTTCCAAACTCTGTAGTACATCATAAAAATGTGTGTCACACCTGTTCAAACATCCCTCCATAGGCACTCAGTTCTACAATTCAAAAACAGAAAATCAAAAAGCAGCAATGATTATTAGTCATTGTGATTGTGACGCCATTTGATAATCATTATTACAGAAAAAGTAATACCTCTGGTTGTGCACGCTTTTTCCACTAATAAATCTTCTTAACCGGAGTCTGAGAGATTTAGTTGTCATACGCACCACACGTGATACACGAGGTGGAACAAAACTGTGTATGCAGGTTCCCTGTTACATCCAACAAAAACACAAATTGTAAAGAACAACAAAGTCCATGCTCAATAATCCAGGTATACAATCCAACATTTTTCAGTCAGGTCATCTGGACAGTTTCTTTTTTGTGCTGAAACGTTTCACCTTCGATCCAGAAGGCTTCATCAGTCAAGGAAACACACAACAAAACTGATTCTTCCCCCAACATGTGGAACAAACCAGTTTTGCTTGTGATAAGATGGTCTCTTTGGTACGCCCCTCCTCCACTGCCAGCCCTCTTCCTTGTTGACAGTCATGTCAAACTGGTTGAAAACAACAAAGTCCATGCTCAATAATCCAGGTATATAATCCAACATTTTTCAGACAGGTCATCTGGACAGTTTCTTCTTTACAATTTGTAAAGAAAAACATTAGTAAGATCCGAGTCATGAACTACAGTGAGAATATACTACATTCACTAAACTAAGAATACACAAGATGAAGGGGCCGTTTACACGGCGCACATTTTGAGTGCATCTGCAGCTTTCTCTCTGCGGTTCTGCTGATCATTTACATGACACCAGTGGCCCCCCTCTTTGAATCCGGAGGTTTTTCAACCCACCTTCCAGAGTGGAGGTTTTTCGCTGACCCCCCGCTGATATCTTGTTTTTAACTGATGTTTCAGCACTTTGTTTCAGCTATGGCTGTGTTAAAGTGCTTTATAAATAAAGTTGATGATGATGATGATGATGATGATAATGTAAACATCTCTCGCTGAGGCTTTGTGTTAAACCACATGTTCACACGCACGCGCGGACAGACGCTATATTTCTATCAACATGGCGGCGGATACACTGCTTTCTGAAATATGACTGATGGAATATATTTTTAATCTCGTAGTTAATCTACGTCAGATTCCAGGTGCTGTGACCGACATCTGTGTTGGAAGAGACATGGTCTGATCCAGTTCTAATATCGCTGTTTATAGAATGTGGCACGTGCACACGTCGCGCTGCACTGTAACATAATAAATAAGCTAGATAAGCTCATCAAGAAGGCCAGCTCGGTGCTTGGACGCCCCCTCGACCCAGTGCAGGTGATGGGAGACAGAAGGACTCGAGCTAAAATAACATCAT